TCAAAATTAATGTAATTTGTAAGTAATTGTATTATTGTAAGTAATTTGTGTGTGTGTGTGTGTGTGTGTGTGTGTCTGTGTCTGTGTGTGTCTGTGTGTATTTTACCTGCCTCCGCTGGTGCGCTTTTGGACGCCCCGGTGCTGTGTCCACCATAGAGGTGGGACGCCTCTATGTTGGACACAGCGGCAGTGTTTTTGGATGCCCCGGCGCTATGTCCACCATAGAGGCGGGACGCCTCTATGGCGGACATAGCAGCAGGGCGGCTTTTGCCTCTAGCACCGGGGTGGCAGGGCGGCTTTTGCCCACTTTCAAGAAAGCCTCTATGTCGGACATAGCACTGGGGCGGCAGGGTGGCTTTTGCCTGCTTGCCTCACCAGCCATAAACCTCACCGCACGTCACTGACAGTTAAATGTGCTCTTTGGCAACAGATTCAAATTTAAATCTGGTTGTTAAATCACTGTTTGACCATATCTGCATACTATTTCATTTCAGACAAAAATACATATGTAAATGCTTTTGTAAAAGCTATTTGCTTTTGAATTAAGCGTTTCCTGTTTCTGCTACCAGTATGGAATTTTTCTCCTAAAGGAACTATCTCTTTTTGATTGTTTCTAGAACACTGATCTAGAAATATGGTACAGGGATTGCTTTTTTCCAGCCTATGTCACCCAACACCCATATTCAAGAGCAATTTATCAAAGTAACCTTGTGCAATAAATAAACTATGCTCTGTTTTTAGTACAGGTTAGCCCTGAAAATGAATTTTTAACTCTTTCAATATGTTTTGGTTCTTGGAAATATTATCCTTATGTTCTGAATGTTATTATTTTTATAAAACTGTCATTATGCATTCTTCACCTTTGGTTCTCTCTTCACACCAGGAATGAAATTTATAGCAAGCAAGAACTGCTATCATTTTATGCACAGTTTTGTCAATCTTTATTATGAGTTCAGAGGGAGTCCTGGTTATATACTTGCTCCTTCGTGGGAAGTGTCATCAAAGATTTAAACCCAAAATATGCTAGACAAACAGCAATTTCATCTCGCTTGGCTTAACTTCAGCCGGTTTTAAACCATCTAAATCCCAACAGCCCCAAGCTCATCCTCAGAGTTTCCAGAGTTAACAAGAGTTGTGTTTTTGTCCTTTGTTTTTCTTAATTCATATTCTTTTCAATCTTTCTGTTTTGTTTTATTTCTGTTCGTTTTTCTTTTGGATTTTAAAGAGTTGTATGGTCTAGTTTGTTTTGAACCTGAAGACTAGAATATGGTTGCCCAGATTTTTAGCTTCCCTGAGCTGCCCTGAATGAAAATGAATTGTCTTGGGCAGCATATAAAATATAGTATATAGTTAATATGCATGAATAACAAACCTTTTAAAAATATTTTTATTATCTTGTGGAGCCACATTAGTAGCTATCTAGGGTTAGCCACACCTGCTCTAGATGTTGTTGGATTCTGTTCCTGACCAAGATCTCTATTTCCTATAGATGGAGATATACTGCATATAATCTAGAAATCCAAATTGGTAGGCACTGTTTTTCACCAGAGTATCAATTAAATATATAATTCAGTATATACTGTACATACACAAAACAACAAATATTTATGCATAATGAAGTAAGGAGAAACAAAATAAGCAAAAGATCAAAAACAATTATGAGAAACTTCTAATATTAGACATAAAATTATTTCCAAAGAAATCATTTCCACAGGATTTTTGTAAACTCTTTAACTTGTCATCGCAACTCTACAGCAGAGATACGGGTAAATCCTTTGGCATAATTTTTGGCTTTACATGCAAAATATATATTACTATGCTATATTGTTATATAACATCCAACAGAAAATCTGCTTTGCTAACCTCTGGCTTATTAATTATTACAAGACTCTCACATCATCTGGCATTAAAAAAAATACCCTGAAAATCACAGCAGAGTTTTATCAGACATCATAATTAGTGATTCTTGAAGTAAAATGCAACCTGACAAACACAGTTACAACTTGCAAACACAGTTAGCTTGCAATACCTTTGTCTGTCTCTGGGGAGTATGGAACTCCAACCCTACCTCTAACCTAAAACTGGTTTTGTTGTAGATATTGTAAGATATTAAAGTGCAAGATTTCATTTTAAAGATTAAAGAAGATGGAATGAAGAAAAATAGAGTCCTAAATTACATCTCTTAGGGTTTTCATCAAGAAAGAAAGAGAGACATCTCTGTGGGGAATTCTTGCAGTTTGAGGAGATGGGAGCTAAAATAAATGCACCTGAAAGGAGGAAGAAAGCATATTTTTTCAGTCCCTGCTTATCTCACAAAAGATTGTACACTGTGGTCATAGAAAAATCAGCACAGCTTTATAGCAAAATTGGTAGTTTTCTCCAAGGGGAGGCAAATGAACTAAACTAGCTGAAGGAAAGAGGGGGAATGGCACACAATTTTCCAAAGATAAAGAAGAAAGCAAGCAATTAACTTTCTAAGATTGTTTAACTTTCAGAGACAATCTATCTTTTGAAAAGTGACCACATTATTCAAGAAGCAGATGGTTTCCCTACTGATGTCATGTATTAATCTTTTATCTTAATTGGGGGTGGGGGTGGTTTACTTTCTTGCCTTCTCAAAGGCAAAACATACAGAAAAGAATAAATTCCAAACATGAACAACAAAAAAGATGTGTTCTTACATCTTTTCTTCCTGATAACTAAAAACAGGTTCCTAGGAGCATAATGCTTTCTTTGAAGCTTCATTGAAACAAACTAAGGTACAACTCCCAAAACCAGGAATGTAAAAAAGTTGATGCCCTGGCAAAGATTTTACATCATGGAACTTCTACAATGAGATATTATAGGCTTTGGAAGTAGGTATTGGGGGCTGGGGACTTAGAGCAAAATGGATATACTTAACTCTGACTCATTGGGGATTTTATTTGCATGCAGATGTTGCAAACCTTTTTGAACTTTCTTTATGCAAGTGTTATTTGAGGGATATCCCTGGTGGGTAGGGCTTAATCAGTGGTTAAGCACATCTATTTTGGGAATGTTTCAAAAAGACTCATGTTAACCCAATAAGAACAGAATGCAAAGATGGAAGCAAGAATCTCAGTCTGTCTCTGACTCTCCTTCCTCCCCCACTCTCTCTTATCCATTCACATGCAGATGATCAGCAGTGATTTTCTAAAGTTTGGTGATGCTAGACAGATTGACAATTTACACCAGGCCACCACAGATGGAAGCAGAAATGTAAATATTAATATTGAATCATGAAAAAACAATGGAACTGACAGAGAGGTATATACCAGCAAACCATTTTCAATAATCAACTCCACGCCCTTCTCATGTTCAGTCAGTCACTACTGTTAATATAACCACTTCTGAAGCTAGTAAAGGGTAACAAAGCACTTTAAAGCCAGGCCATGACTTTACTGCAGTTTGATGTTTCCATATCAAAGAGTCTGCTGTAGGGTACCTTAATTTCCCTTCATTGAAGAAAGAAGTAAGGATAGTCCAGGAAGCAGGAAGCAGAAAAGGAAAGAGAGCAAGATTGAAACACCATTTGATTTGCTAATGGGCCCATCTTCACAAGAATATATTTTTTTAAAAATCCTAAATAAGGAATAAACATCCTTATCACTTGCAGTAAAAGGAAGAATGTAAAAAAATTGGATTATCTCAAATCTGATACATCTTAGCTTCAGCTTTGATCTGAGCAGCTCTTACCCCGTCTTCTGCTTTATTTTCATTTATGAAAAAGAAAATTTTTAAATGAAAAGAAAGTTGCAACATGGTACAACTATCATCTAGAGTATTAGATGAAAAAGAGTGCCCGCTCTTCACAATACATTAAAACCCATTATTTACATTTGAAAGCAATGCCAAAAAGTAAAAACTACATTAACCAAAGGTTGAATCCCTTGTGAAAGTCTTACAGCCTTAGACAGAAAGACCACCCTTCCTCTTTTAAAAAGTAGCAAACAAATGGATCTGTTCTCATGACAGAAACTCCATGGTGCATCAAAGAAGTTAAAAAAAAGATTCAAGGCATCTTCAAACATCAAAATTAAAGGTGGTGACTGCAGAAGAACTGCACATTAGATAGAATTTTCTGAGATCATAAGCATTTTGGACTCTTGCTATTGGGAATTAACATAACTGATGGCAGAACGGTCAGAGAAGATGGAACAGAGGGGGAAACAATCATCAACAGTTCTTACATAGAATGTTGAAATAAATCTATAACTAAAACCATTACTGTAGAAAATCTACTTTCTATCATTATATCTTAAGTGAAAAATAATGTAACGGGTTCAGAGGGGAGTAAAACTGGGTTGCTATGACACTTGGTCTGAAGGTTTGGCAGTAAAATACAGCAACTTCTGCAAAACAGATGCTTTACATACCGGAATTTAAATCACGCCCAGGATTGAATGCTCTGCTATTCACGGTGGTGGACAATCTATCACAGCTAATGGTTCTAGACACGTTAGTGTTAAAATTGCCATCAAACCTGAAATGAGCCCAAGAGAAAAACAAATTAAGACAAATAAGCACGTATACTTGTTTCAATTTTTTATAGGGACAGACAGGGTTTTTCCCCATCACCGCCAACAAACAGCCTTAAATATCGAGAAGACTAGTCAACTTGATTTACAAACACAGAGGCATCTTGGAAACAGACATCAAATAAATGGCAGACAGCACCAAATTAGCCACATTTGAAGGAAGAAATGCTTTTGAGTTTTAGCAAATTCTACAATTCACCACTTTCACTTAAGTGGTATAATTGTTCTGCAGAAAGATGGGGATATTCCAGCTGTATGGGCTTCTTCACTTTGACTCCAATTTTCTTCTTCAGAGAAAGGTTTTAAAAAAAAACTAGCAGAGATGTGTAGTAAGTTGCAACCAAAGCATCAAATCCAGATTTAGGTCATAGTATGAGAGGTACAAGACTTTTCAGCCTTTGGCATTTACAAAGACTCCTAGACTCCTTATCTACAAGTCTCTGTTGGGAAATGTTCTTCAAGTGAAAGTTGCAGCTATAGGAGAACAAGCAAATTGGAAAAATAAGGGTGGCTTTATTATTTCATCCCTGATCCAAAAAGAGCCAGTATCCATGCTTTGCCCCTGATCCAGATCAAACCCAAAATTTTATTTGGAGTGAAAAATTCCCCCGCCCCCCAAAATAGCAGGTTTATATCTTTTGGTGGGTATGGATGGAGAGCATGGTGGTTTTATGTGGTGTTATGACAACAGCACATACCAAAATGGAAGTGCAGAAATGATATGCATGAACATTTGGAACAGCAAGAAAGACATATATTATATGAGAAATGGAGAAAGAATATGCTGCCAACAGAATAAAATATGAAAGTTCAATAAATTAATGAGATTTTAAGAACATTAAATTAGAGTTTGACATTGCCTGTGTTCTCTGATAAGAGCCAGAAAATATGACATATCCCACTGCTTAATTTCTTCCCAAATCAATATTAGAGGCAGGCAGGGGTGGATTCTCGCTAGTGTTACTGCCGGTTCTGAGATCAATTCAATGGAAATTGTTCAGTGCATGCACAGAACTAAAAAACAAGATGGTGGCAGTAATGGTGGCTACCGGGGAACTGGTTCTGAGAGGTATCCAGTCTGGGTTTCTGTCAGTTCTGCGACCCAGGCCGGCATACTACTACCGGTTCAGCCAAATCAGGTGGAACCGGAAGGAACCCACCTCTGGTAGCAGGATGGAAAGATGGTAGAATAAGAGTGGAGTTTTGGACATGTCATACAATCCAATCTTCAATAATTTGGTAATCAAATGTTATGTACATTGAAAGATTAATTTTCCATTATTTATCTATTCAGAACCACAAGGATAATTATGGAATAATAATTATGGAATAATAATTATGGAATAATAATTATGGAAGGATAATGTAGATAGGCTTTTATCGGGTTTGCAAAACAAAAACAAAAAATGTTGGCCACAAAATCAGAATTTCTCTGATCTGAACTATATTTATTATCGGATCAGATAAAAAATCAGAAATATTTCCATTCTTTTATACATTTATACATCATTTGCAAATGATATTGCAAAGAAGGAAGGAAATGCTAAGTAAAATGCTAAGTAATATAAATTTAATAAATACATTTTCTTTTACAATATCGCTTAACAGATAATAAACCCTTAATGTTCTATTTGCACATTCCAATGTGTATTTTGGTTATATCCATGTAACAACTGACAGAATAAAATGAGCCATGCATTCCTCAGTCTACTCAAATTTACTTAGAGTTAAATCAAATTTATCTTCTCGGGATTAAATGTTCCCCTAACAGCTAGCACGATTCCAATAGGAACTTTTTTGCAACCCCAAAACTGTCCTCACTAAAAGGAAATCAAGAGTGTAATTATTCAAACTGCTACATCATATTGTTATTTCCAACACCTTTACTAAATTCTAAACCTGCTATCACAGTTAATAACTGACTAAAACCAGGATGAATAATTAAGTATCTTTTGTCCTGAAAGGTGTTTTATTTATAAACCCTAAAAAGTGTTTATATAATGATTGTATATTTATTGCACCAACATGCAATCAATTCTTAATCTACAGCATTTAAATGTAGAATTTAGACATAGAGGAGTTATTCTCTATACTACAGTATATGAAAACTCTTCCTTCTGGATTCACTTTAATGAACAACTGGTCGAAACTGCATCCCGAGGGGGGAAAACAGAACTGTGACTCCCCCTTTGATCTCTTCCCCATGGAGAAATTCGCTCCCTGCCTAGCTTGCAAGATGTTCATTTGATTGACGTTTGCTCTGATGTGCAAAGCGCTTTGAACTTCAGACATTTAATTCCCATCAGGCAGCAGTCATTTTTATTCTCCTTCAACAAGATTTACAAGCAGAAGATCAGCAAATGGAGAAGATAAAATAAATTTGCAGAAGCTTTGAATCTTACATCAAAATAGTGTTCGTGTAAGCGCCAACTGGATTTTATTCACTATTCACAAATAAATCAACTTGTGTGCAGTTTCAGTTTTATAAAATGAAGAAAGAGAAATGGGCATATAAAATGCTAGTCATCAGCTAAATGTGGTTACTATATTAAGCTCCCCTGTTATTTTGCCATATTTTCTGTCAATTTCTCATGAATACGCTTCATTCTCATGTTCCCCAATACCAGCTGCAGAACAAGGTCATTTAGAAACCACAGTTTTCTTTAAAGTGCTGAAACTAATATGTTTTATTAATGGCCAGTCCTGTTCTTGTAATCAATATTTTATTTGCATACTGCAGAACTAAAATATATAAAGCAAACAGCATTTTTGAAAAGTTCCAACTGAGTCTTAATCTAAGCTAATAATGGAGGCCTGCTTTGAAGGCACCTACAGTTAACCAAGATTCCTCAGACTAACTCATGGTCTATCCAAACACTAGATAAAAGAAATGCAGTTCTGTAGCATTATCCTGATACTGTATTCAGCATGAGAACATCTGATACTAGGAATTCTGTTGTATTATCAAATTCATTTAATAATTAGGAAGAGCTGAAAGAAAGGAATGCTAACACTGCAGTGCCAATCACATCCTTTCCTAAATTTTACATACTTCCATAAGTACCACCAAACATATTCAGTAGTTACCAATTACTATAATTTAATTTGTATCATTCATTCATTCATTCATTCATTCATTCATTCATTCATTCATTCATTCATTCACACACACATGCACATACATACATACACCCTCCTATACAAGATCACCAGACTTTCCTAATCTTTGTAAGTATCTTTGCATACTGTTAGGATTATCCTGTTCTAAAACCAAACCATTTTAGCATTCCTGACAATGTAACTGCACAAAGAACTTGAAAGATCAGTATAGGAATTTCCTTATCTCTCTATTTCACAGCCCAGGAGAGGACAGGTAAACAAAAGAAAGAGCAGCGATAAAGCTAAAGCTGCAATAGCAAATATTTAAGCAGCTATTTTATAAGAGTGAGCCAGGTCACTTTCTAAAGGAATTATCGTAAATGATCTTCAAAAATAGATCTATAGGTTTACCTATGTAAATATTACATGTAAATGTATTGAAGGCAGAGTGGCCAAGTAATAAGTTACAGAGGTAAATATTTCTCCAGTGCAATTTTTTCATTAAGAGATAAATAAAAGCAATCCGTAAGATGAATCTTTTTAAAAAAAATACTAACATTAATTAAAATACAGAAAACAAAATTTAGGCACATGTAAGTTGAATGTATGAATTACATTTACATTTAACAGTTTTAAATAGATTTATAACTAAACATGATGGCCCTTCTGAAGTAGTGGCTAAAAGTGCTGTGAAAATATCTATCATTTCTAGTCCTGCTTTAGGCCTAGAAGTCAGTTCTGGAATTCTGGGAGTTGAAGTCCAAAGGCCATAAAGGGGGCATAGTTATCTACCCCTGATGTAAGGATAGCTATTGTAAAACATTTCTGAAAATGTTGTCAAGAAATGTGCATGAACTTAGCCATGCAGTTGCCAGGAGTCAACACTGGGTTTGATAAATAATAAAAAAACAGTGGCTGCTAAATGCACTGACCAGTAAAAATAAAATATCTATAAAGCATTCAGCACAGTTTTATCAATTTTCCTAGGGGGGGGAAACCCAGGCTCCACAGGATTATCCCAAAGTTATGTATCCTCTGCACACAATTCAAATATATTTTACTGTTGTGCACAATTCAAATGTATTTACTTACATACAGTTACTTCAAAGTCTTCAGTGAGTGTATCTAGACATGCCCCTGAATAATAGTTCCTTTAAGATTAGGCTCTGCTATTTTTTGCATTGCTCAAAATAAGTTGAGACAGGTAAAGTTTTGATCTTCTCAAAACTGCCATTATAAGCCAATTTAAGTTTATTGAAATATACAAATAATATAATCATTTGTAGTAATTTTGTATTTGTTGCAGTTTATCATTATAATTCTGGAAGTCTTAATAGAGTAAAACAGAAGCATGTTTTAAAAGGCTGCATAAAAGCTGTTTGTTTATAGGAAAATCACTTGTGGGCTTTGACAGATGTCCACTCAGACACTAGCAATTAATGAAATATATAACTGCAATAAGAATTCCTCCTAATGCCTATTAATAATATTAAAACACGTGGAAGCCACTTTTGGCACTAAATAATTTGCTTCAGCAGGGTAGGGCAAAACCTTTAATGTAACCTATGATTCTAGTGAGTTTTTTTCATACAACTGAAAGTAGTAGTGCTTATGTCTAGCCTTAAAAGTTTCAGCTCTTGCAGTACCCCTGTAGTTGCATGGTCTCAATTTGGGCATTTGACAACCAGCTTGCACTTACAATAGTTGCAATATTGCACAGTGCCATGATTGCTATATGTGAGCTTCCCTGCCAGCTACCCATAAGCAAAGTTGTTCCCATAAATTGTTCCCATAAGTCATGCCACTTTTTTTCCTATAAAAAGCATATTGGAAAAAGGATTTCATACTTCTTGGCACATTCCCACCTGCCTGCATTCTGTATCATCTGCTCACGGCGTCTGGCAACCTGCCCACATTCCATAGCACCTGCCCACATGCCTTGCCTAGGATTCTGGCTTCTTCTCGTTTAAGAATCACACAATCCTGAGTAATCCTGACTGCCAGGATTGCTGTTGCTAAACAATTGAGTCATGTGACACCACCATTTATGACTGCATTCCTTGGGGAGAGAAATCCTATCCTAATTGTCACTGTGACTTGAGGACTACCTGCATAACCTGTTTATAGATGGTTTTTTTGTGGACTGACAAGTTTTCATCAGTCACTTTTATAACTGTTTTTTCCACGTTCAGGTTACCATTATTTTAAAATAACCAGCACTAATCGTTATTCCTTAAACAACTGTATGTTATATATTAGGGCTTGTGACCGACTGATTGACTGGCAGACAGAAAGATAGATATTTCTATTCCTTGACAGCTACTGTGGTATAGTGATTAAAGTACTGGACTGTGATTGGCGAGACCCAAATTATAATTCTCTTTTAGTCATAGAAGCCATATTGATGACTTTAGGAAAACAAACAAAAGGCTTTTCCCACCTCCAATAGAAAATATTTGAATACTTACTCCATCATAGATGGTGGAATGGTGCAACAGTCCTGAATTGCTGTGAGAGGAGATGTCAAATGAGCAGTGTATGAAGCTTCTACTACATGTTTGTTTCGATTTACCACATCCAAGTAGCGGTTAAACTTTTCCCGAATTTTTTTGGCTAGCTGGGAAATTTAAAGAGAAGAACAAAATCAAAACTGTTGAAACATTTATATTCTATATTCATAATGCAGAATATGCTCAAATTGCAAGAGAAAGCAATTGATTCTGAAATATATTTACATTCATATTTATATTTAATCAATAAAATTTAACAGCTTATAGATAAACCAACAAGTATGGGAACTGCAAGAAGATTTACTGAAATTGTTTCACTTTCTGTTTCTGAGTGTTTTCAAGATCTCCAGATTTTTCACTTCAGCCGTGTTTTCTGACATCGAATTCAAACCAATCTCTCATTAAAATCAAAAAGATATCACTCATAAATTAATTCTACTGAAATCTAAGTAATGAATTGATAAGCTGGAAAAATCTTAAATGAATATGCATATAAATAGGTGCATTCCACATTCGTTGATATGCTATATGTGATAGAAAAAAGTAATGGTAATAACCCTATAATATTCAAGTAGCATTAACAATTGAATCAGATCTCTTTTTAAAATGGTGGTAGATATATCTGATCTATAACATAGAAACTTGTCATAAAAAGCTGGAAATTTCCATGCTAATTCAGAATTTACTCGTCCTGATCGCCTAGAAAACAGACTTTTATTGGTTCTTTCCAAAGTCAAGAAATTCTAGCCTCAAAAAGACCTTCAAAGGTCCAGGAAGATAAGAACCTACTGCAAAATGGGAATCTACTGAATGGCTGGGCAATTAATTTTCCCAAGGGGAAATTTATGAGAAACTGGGAATAAGATAAATTTGAGGGCTTATGTCCCACCCACTGTACTTGCTGCCCTGCTCCTTCTGCTGTCCAACACCCCTCACTGCTGCTGCACCTGCCCCCCTGATGTTCCAATGCTGATGCCATGCTGATGCCCCGCCCCCTGCCAATATCCCATCCCCCACTACCAATACCATGGGAAGTACTGGGACTGTCTGTGGGCCAGATGTAGCTTGCAGGTCATAAAATGCCCAGGTCTGATCTACTGAATCCTCACCCCATTAGCCTAACACCCAGAAAATTTAGAATTCTGCTCTGCTAGCCTGCTCAGGATGGAAATGTTAAATCACTACAGAGCACACTCATGGAAGAACGTAGGTTTGCTTTGTAATATAGTTGACAGGTGGCATTGTGCAGATACACAATCACTGTCATTTATTCCAAATGCTACTATTGGTTGAATTGGATAAGCACAGTCAGAATGGATGATACAGCTATTACCACTGTACCACAATGAAAACAGTAGCTCTGCAGTATACGTGTCTTTTATTTCAATAGTTTTCTTTATACATCTTGTTCAGCACAAAAATACATCTGGAAGCAACTTGTTAAAACAAGAATATATTCTGTATGCACGGACACATACACACATGTATATGTAGAATTTTCTGCCCAGTTACTAACTAATCCCATTACACAACTGAGTGTTGAATATTATATGGTTTTCTCCAGTCCATTTGAAGTTTTCTTAATAATTCTTATTCTGAATCCTTAAGCTCCCTATAGTTTATGGTCTGAATGAAGAATAATCTTACAATAATTTACAGCTCAAAGCAAAATGTTCAAATGTTCAGCAACTTATTTTAAAAGTATTCTGCCTTCAGAAAAAAAAGACTAGATTTATTTAATTAGTGTTGGGTAATTAGATGATACTTTTTAATCCTCCTCATTCTATTTCTCCATATACCTAAATTTTACAAAAGGAAATGATTTAAAAATACAGCTCAATTTGTACATATAAATATGTAATTTATTTTTGTAGTATGTCTGCATTTGATAAATGTCTCCCCTAACTATTAATAACAGGCCATTTCATCATGATTTACCTTCTTATGTGAATAATTAGGCCTACAGTGATAAGTGCAGGGGCCCTGCCTCAATTGTTTCTATCAAATTCTACGACTCAATTAAGGCTCTCCAAGGACACCCTTTTAACAAAAATGTTCAAATAAAATTACTTGTAGCATTATATTTAATTGCCATTATAGAATGATTTATTGCTAATACTCCAGACGTTTATTGCCCAATCTAAGTTATGGATTTCTTTCAACTAGAATGCCACACATAGTTGAATGTTTCTGTGGGTTGAGAGTTTGTCAACTTCAATGTTGTCTCTATCATAAGTGGCTTACACATTAGGATTAAAATATCAACTAGCTGCTCAAAACAAGCAAGACAATCACAAAAAGAATGCATGGCACAGGTTGGGGAGGATAGCAACATAAACCAGGGCCCCCCAATCTTTTGGGTACCAGGGACCGGTTCCCTGGAGAGAGGTTTTTCCACAGACTGAAGGGGGTGTGGTTTTGCATACTGCCTGCATCCCATGGATGGGGCTTTGCTGATTTGCATGCTTCACTTGTTTCTGGCAGGCCACGGACGGGTGCCTGTCCACAGACTGGGAGTTGGGGACACCGGACAAACAATACAAAATCCAATATAAAAAGAATAAAACCAATAACTCTCCCCTCCCCTGGGGAAAACAAGCAATCAAAGGAGCCACTTGATGAGATCCATCCCACTCTGGGTTCTCCAGGCCCATTTGGCAAAATCATGTCTTTGGAATCTTGTGAAAGAGTGTCCAATCAGGGGACAGTTTAATCTCTGCAAGGATGATGTCCCAAAGAGATGGAGCCATCATNTGAGTGCTGAAAAACCTGCATGGAAACGGGGCTCACATGTGCGCACGCTTCTCAGGGCCACACTCTGGAAAAGCCCAACTTCCGAGTTCTAGCGCGTATGCGCGCATGATGATCAACTGGGCAGCACTCATGCACAGGCTAGTTTTCAGCGATGACGTGTAAAAACAGGATCACACTCTGGAAAATCCAAGCTTCTGGGTTCTGGCTCACATGCGCATTCAACAATCAGCTGGCCAGCGTGCATGTGCACACCAGTTTTCAGCACTGCTGCACACACGAAGGACAGCTAATCATCACCCACGCATGTGTGCCAGAAACCCAGAAGACAAACAGGCAAGGCCGCACATGTGCCAGGCAACATGGCTTCACATGCCACTTTGGACACGTGTGCCATAGGTTCGTCATCACGGGCCCAGAGTGATGCATAGACCCACTTTACTGGCAATATTTGACATTAGCTGATTTAAAAAAGAACTCCTGTCAGTTCCCTGTTTGCAAGAAGGAAAGTGTATCATCAAACAACACCTGGTGCTTTCAACAGATTAGTAGTATAACACATCTTCAGGGATGATGTTATAATTGCTAGGCAGCAATGTAATATTCAGGTTCGTACTTTATTCCCCTAAACCATTTTGTGGCTTAATCAATTTGTTGATCTGAAAGTATAATATCCTTAGTAGTTTTAATGGTTAAGTACAAATCTATTATACAAACTTCAGAATTGATATTTTTACACGAAGAATACTGTATATCCCAGCACTGTAATACAAGAACTGGGTAAATTTTTTTTAAAATACATTTTTATCTACTTTATAGATAAGACCTACAGACAGAATGAATCTCAAATCATATCACAAAGCCCCCATCTGTCATATGAACAGATTTTGATGTCCAAAAATGTCACAATTTTTTTTAGTGGAAATCATGCTGAAACACAATCTCAAAAAGGGTTTAGTCTTCGAAAGTGAATGAGCCACTCTTAATGAAGACATTGGGACAGTCTTCCAATGTAGTAAAGATGGAGAGTGAAGAAATAAGAAACTTCTCTGTCCTTGTTATGTAGGTGCAAATGTGAGGTCATTCTTGACTTGACCAAATTTTCTTCTGGTATTCCTCCACAGTGCTCCAGAATTGCTATGTCTGTTTCATGCCCCTGAACTATCGGTAGCAGCTCATCAAGAGCCTGAGTATCACTTTTGTATGGGTTCAGGTCTTCATGTCACTCCATTTAGGTCCTAATTGTACCCAATCCTGGATGGGAGACCCTGCTTGCAACCACTCATGCCTTAATCATTTCTTAGTTAGGGTATTGCAAAATTCTTTATCGGGGTCTGCTCTTGAAAATCATCTGGAAACTACAATTGTTCAGAATGCAGCAGCATCGGTAGCTATGGGTAAATCTTGAAATATTTAATGTGAAATTGATATAAAATATTTTATAAACAGTACGGAACTCCATTACTAATTACCAAAAAGACAAATCATATAACACTAAATGTTGAAAATGTCCTAAAAATGTTGTGAACAAAGAAGGAACATTTAATCATATATAGTCCTAAAAATAAAATCTGAACTGAAACCACACATTTTTGTTAGATATAATTCCAGAAACCATAAATGTAAAATATCACAATTACTGTATGCTGACAACTGCAAGACCAAATTTGGTACATTAGAAAAGAGGAACCTTGCCAACAATAATAGATTGATTGACGAGAGTGAGAAAAATATAGCAATGGCAAAATTGAGAGTGTATACCTATCATAGAGCTCTAACCAAATCTATGCAGGAATGGCTCCTTATATATTAGGGTTCTCCAATCCCTGGGCCGCAGACCAGTACCTGTCTGTGGCCCATTTGGAACTGGGTTGCGCAAGCAGCGGGAGAGTGTGCAAAGCTTTAGTTGTGATGCGCGAGATTGAGTTGCGCACAGGAAACCATCTCCTTCCTCCTGCTGCCACCACTGCCGATCCTTGAGTCAGAAAGGTTGAGGACTGCTGCTACACATTATACAGCAAGCCAAATTTAGGCAAATTTAGGCTAGTATCTGTTTGCAATTAAAAATATATTAAAACCACTTTTACTAAAACTAACTAACCAAATAAACAAAAAACCCTGGCGCCATAGCTAAACTTCCAGATGCAGACCATAAGTTCATCTCATCAACCTTACCTTGTGCTTACAAGAAAAGCCAGATTTTAAGTGCTTTTTGGAAGATTAAAAAAGGGGCAGCTGCCAAATTTCAGTGGAAGGGGTGATCCACAGGGCAGTGGCTGACATGGAAAAGGCACACTTCCTAGATTCCATGAAATGGAACTTATAAAGGACTAGGAGCATGTCCAACCTGTTCCAT